AAGGATTCTACTACGTTTGTTGGTGGAAATTTTTGTATTCACGTAGCTCACAAAACCATCTTCCATATCACTTAAAGTTATCAGGTGGTAAATACCTAATGTTGTCAGGAATATAGGTGTGAGATTAAATGGTTGATATCCAAGTTATAAATTTTGCTGACTAGGTGATCTTGGGCTGGTCACTGGACTCTCCATGCCTCTGCAAAATGGGGATATTGTCTCTCAGTTGGAGCCATGGTGAAAATGAAGGAAGATAATGCTAAGAACATGGAGTTCTTAGTCTAATTTCTCAAGGTAAACATTCAGTAAATGTTAGAAATAGTAACATGATGTAAGTCACAACAGTATAATCATCATCATCATCATCATCTTCCTACATAGGGATGATTGTGTGCATATGTGTGTAGTAGGGGTAGGGGATAGAAACAGAAAGAAATATTGAACCCTGGTTTTGGGTGAAAAGTGTTTCACATCTATGATTGCATTTAATCACATGAAGTAGGTACAGAGAGGCAAAATGACTGCTCCAAGGTTGTCCCGCTAAAAAGGAGCCAACCTGGGTGTTGTGGAGACAGTTTGGAAGAAGAGTCAGAGACTGGAAATGTGTTATTTACATGGATAAGAGAGAGGAGGAATGGCAATGCTAGCATCCCCCACCCCTATCTCCATGGCTATTTATTAAATTGTTTCTCCCTACAATTGGCTTTGTAATTTATTAATAGTTACTATCAGGTTAGTAAATACAAGCTACAGCCAACTCCCACATTCAGCCTCAAAGCCACCACCGTGTTCTCAGCTATTTCTTCTAAAGTATCTTTTTCTTATCCTCTAAAGTATCCTTTTCTAGTCCCTAGAGAAAGAAGTCTCGGAATCGGTCGGGTGTGTGCGCCCTCCCTTGTGTGCAAGTCCACATCTGCTTCTGATGTTCTTATTACTCCAAGCACCAGACATTCTGCTAGGAAAATTCTGAACTGCAGGTGTTTCTTACAATACCTGGGCTCTGAAGACAGAGGTGCATGATGCTGAGCCTATGCCCTTTCTACTGGTTATCATCCTACTTCTTGACTTAGCCTCTTGCCTACCCAACTTGCAAACTCAATCATAAAGCTGTGGTTTCATTTCATCAAACTGCCTGTAGAAGAAGAAAGATGCATTGAAGGTCAACAGAAATTTCCTATCAGACAAGGGCAATCAGAATCTAAAGGGAGAGAGATGGAACAAGTCTTACCTTTCAGCACTGTCGACATGCAAGCAGCAGGAAGGAGAAGACCGATGGTGGCCGATGGGGATATTTTCCCAGTAAAGATTCAGAGAGAATATGAAATGAATGAAATCATCCTTTGTACCCCATGTTACCCCATAGTTCCCGAGACAGGATAGGGAACCAGAATGAGAAGCTGTGACCCATTTCATTCTATGAGCCCTAGACCCCTTTGGAGGCACATTTATCTCAGAAGTCAAGAAACCCTGGGTATATCGGTTGCCTGGATCATCCAAGTCTTCCCCACTCCACCTAAATTTTGGGAGGTTGGCAGAAGGAGGGTCTCCATAACAACCAATCACCATTTCCACTTCTCACCTGGATATCAGAGTGGTTAATACTTGGAAAAGAGGGAGGCTTATCCACTCTGAACCATGTCTTTCTCATCTAAAATCCACCAATGAATATACACAATCCGATCCAATTCAGTTGTACATTTTAGAGCAGAAGGTAACCGATCCTACTGATAATCTGATCAAAGCTATGAAGCCCATATCCCCAGAAAACCACACAGGTTCTCTCTCTCATACCCAGTCTCACACAATTACAGAGACTTGCTGACCTCTCCAAAGTCCATCCAGTTTCCCCCCAGGAATCTGCAGACTCTGGGTTTGGAGCTCGTATTAGAATTGAGAGCATCTTTGAATCTACCCAGGTTGAATGGTGGTTAGCAGTTTCGCCTCTCCTTTTTGCCCCTTTCTTCTCTGGGTTGAAGGGCTCCCTATTCCAGTAGGAAGCAAGAGATAGTACTTACATTTGACTGGAAGGGACAATAGAACAAGGAGTCAGTGAATCAGCATGGAAAATAAAAGCAAGGAAGAGTAGGGTTAATATTAACATTATCCACCTCAATTTCACATGCATTTCTTTATGCCTTCATTTTCCTGCCCATTATATGGGGAGGGATTTCATGAGAGACTATTTTTATGTAGTTATCACCACACAAAACTATTAGTTATGTTCTTCCCCCAAGACAAAACCTGTGTCCCACCTTTCCTCCACAATTTCCTGTATAGTTTTAAGATCCAAAGGAATCTAAAAGGAGTTAGCTATGGGAATACAAACTTAGGGTTTCCACAGTTCTTACTTTTTTCTTCAACTGCGACTGGAAGCAAAGGTGTTAGCCATTGGATCCAGCAGGAGTAGGAAGCAGAGAGCAGAGAGAGAATTCAGCATTAGACTGAGATTACTGCAATGACCAAGGAGACCAGAGCTGGACATGTCACTGGAGACCAGCTAACCCACCAACTTGTATCATCAAGGCCACTTGAGTCCATCCATTCATCCACCCATCATTCATCCATCATCCATCCATCATTTATTCACTTATCCATTCATCCATTATCCATCTATCATCCATATATCATTCGTCCATCACCCATCCATCATTTATTCATTTATTCACTTATCCATTCATCCATTATCCATCTATCATCCATTCATCATTTATCCATCATCTAACCAACTAATATTCATTTGGTACATACTCTGGACACCAGTGTATGCTGGCTCTGGGGATTCAAATGAATTAGACTGAGCCCTAGCCCTGTGAGCATTTGCAAGACTGGCTGGGGAGAGAGCTACTGGTACAGAAGTAAACAAGACATACCTCAGGCTGTGCTCTCATGGAAGCTGTGACCTCTGGATGTCATGAATATTATACAGGCTATTCGGACTTGGCATGTCCAAAAGATAATTTGTGGTCATCGCCCTCCCATCCATCAAAAATTAATGTTTTTTTATTAATAAAAATAAATATCCATGAGTTCACACTGACATAAATAAGTACTTGAATAAACAAATGGGTGTGGGTGGGGGGAGAGAAGATTCAGCTCTTCCTTACAGAAGAATTCCAACTAATACATGTAGAAAGAAGAAGAGAAATAGAAAATCACCATTGTACAAACATGACAGCAATAATTTTTGCAGGCAATATCCACAGATGTATGCTAAGATTGGTGAGCAAATGTTTGAGGAGAAACAGGATATTTGCATAGTTTCCGACTATGTCCCCCTGGATATTTATTAATTACAAAGGGGCAAATAGTAACAGTGGAGACACTGGCAGATACCACCTTAACCAAGTGATCAAAGTTAACATCACGGGGAATGAGACATATCAACATTATGTAATCCCCAACAAAATGTACAAGAATCACCTCTGTGGTATTCCTGCCAAAAATGTAAAACCTCAATGTTATCACAAGAAAACTTATGACAAGCTCAAATTGAGAGACATTCTGCAGACATCTGACCATGGCTCTTCAAAAGTCTCAAGGTCATGAAAGATGGACACACTTTAGTCACAGATTCCAAGAGGAAATCACAAGAGTAAGGAGATATGATAACTTGGTACCATGTGGGATGCTGGACTGGATCCTCAAATAGAAAAAGGACATTCGTGGAAAAACTAGTGAAATTAGAGTAAGGTCTATAATTCAGTTAGTAGTTTTGTGCTGGTATTCAGGTCTTGGTAAGACAGTAACATTAAAGGAAGTTGGGTGAAGTGTATTCAGGAACTCTGGCTGTCTTTGTGGCTTTTCTGTAAGTCTAAGATTACTTCAAAATAAAGTTTAAAACATTAGTTTGCTCCACAGTACTTTCCTATATCAGTTAAGGGAAACCTCAATCATCCAGTTGTAAAAAAAAGAAAAAGAAAAAGAAAAAAGAAAAGGAAAGGAAAGAAAAGAAATAAGAGTCTTTCCTCGTCCATCCATCTCATCTGTCACCAACCTCCAGCATCTCACCCATCATTCAATCCCATGAACTTGTGCTCCCAAATGCCTCACAACCTTCTACATATTCCTGCCTCCACCCTGATACTTGCAACAGTCTCATAACTGGGATCCTTGCTTCTATTCTGTTTCTTGTCTATTCTGTTCCCACTCAAGGGTAATTGTTTAACACATACACACACCTAAAATTCACACTCTCCTGATGAAAACCCTTTATTAGCTTCCTTTTGCACCTGTGATATCTATACCCTTAATATGACCCACAAGACCCTGTGTGTTCTGGTTCCTGCCTCCTCTCTGCTCCTCCTTGTAACATCCCCACTTGCCATGCCCCTCACCCCATCCACCATGCTCCAGACACACCACCTTCTCTCAGATCCATGCAAGGACCCAGCACCTTCCTGCCCCAGGACTTCTGCACATACAATTTCCTTGCCCAGAACTAACTTCCCTAACTCTTTAGCTGGCTATCTCCTACATGTCGTTGAGGTGTCTGCTAAAATGTCATTTATCCAGAGAGCCCTTCTCTTAATTGCCACACTAGGGTGTGTTTACTTGTGTATCAGAGTGAGCGAGGATATAAAAACTCAACTTTGTGACAAGACTCTGGTCCTCTTCCCAACATATAGTGTCTTTATATTGTGGAGGTCTCGGGTCTCACTAGAACTCTGTGCCCCTACACAAACAAACTCATCAACAACATACAGCCATCCTGCGGGCTGGAGAGTCTTATGGGGCCCACTGGACCAGCAAGGACAGTGAGGCTTGTTTAGGCAACGTGGCCCCGCCAGGCAGAGTCTGTGACAACACAGGATGCAGACGCCAGTCTGTCTATCTACAAGGGCAGCAGCCACGGTGCCCAGGACTCCTCTGTCCCACCATCCCCACCAAGGGAAAAGCATAGAGGAAGTCTGAACCTGAAACAAGGAGCCAAGTAACACTTCAGGAGCCAGTGCAAGGTCAGAAGAAGTGGAAGGGAGACCAGAAGCGGGTGCGGGCATTACCTTCCCGAGGAATGCAGGCTTCGGCCAGTCCCAGGAACAGCAGAATCGGCAGGGCCATCTTCAGGAGAGGCTCTGAGCTGTGCATGGCAGGGCCAGGGTTGGGGTAGATGTCCTCTTTCTAGGACAAACAGGACTCTACTCGTGCCTATTCTCTCAAATCCCAAGGGCAAAGCCAGCTGCCCACACAGGCCCTGTGGCAGACCTAGAGGACCAGCAGGCACCCAGACTTGTGCCCACGCCACCAGCTGCTGACATAGAACTGCTTCTTCCTGCTGGCAGCTGTTTATTGATCTTAAAGTGTCACTTTAGGATAATTTCAGGGTGAGCATACCTGCCATGCTAGGACCTGCAAGCCAAATTCTGCTTGTCTCCTGTTTTGGTGAAACCAATGAGCTAAGAGTGGTTTTTAGTTTTTAGTTTTTAACGGTTGAGGAGGTAAAAAGACAAAAGAATATTTCATGACATAAAAATGATAAGGAATTCCAGTTTCGGTGTCCATAAATAACATTTTATTGGAACACTCCCATTCATTTTGAAGTTGTGCCTGCTTTTCATGCTGCAGTGGCAGAGTACAGCAGTTGTGACAGAGACTGTCTGACCCATAGGCCTAAAACATTCATCATCTAGCCCTTTGCAGAAAAATGTTGTTGAGCTCGTCCTAGACAAATTGTAAATCTCAGAAAAACAATTGATCAAACAATGACGTGCCTATCAGAAATAAACATTGTTTTCACACTCCCGTGTGTGTCCCCTCCCCAAGGGGTCTGCATTTATACTTCTCTCTAATACTAGCTGTGGGCCCTGAACAAATGATGTAGCCACTTTGTGCCTCAGTTTCCTCATCTGCAAAATGGGAACAATGGTATTTCCAACCTCATGGCGTTGTTGAAAAGATTGTGTATATATCTATAAAGCACATAGAACATTGCACAGTCTCTGTCCATATATTAAGAATGTAATATAAGGATATATCGCATATATACTACCTCTCAGCCCATGTGCACATGTGTCTTAAGAAGTGATCTTTTCATGCTTAAGCTTTTAAAGTGCTTTATTATTTATGCATGATGCACATTGGACTTTTCTCCCAGATTTTAAATAGTCACTAGCCACAGAGTTTTGTAAGTAAGACTTTAACGCTTTCTTTATCATAAAAGTGAAGCATACTATAAAGAGATAGAGCACAAGGGAGTTTTAGGGCAGTGAGACTCTTCTGTAGAGTACCTTGATGGTGGCCACATGACATTACACATTTGTCTAAACCCACAGAATGTACCACAGAGTGAACTCTAACAGAAACTGTTGACTTTAGTTAATAATAATGTATCAATATCCACTCATCAGTTGTAACAAATATACTACGCTATTGTAAGATGATAACAGGAAACTCTGGGTGTCCCAGATGAGGTGACAGCAGATCTGGTGTCTGGGGAGAGACCCTGCCTTGCCTGGTGGCCACCTTCTTATTGTGTCTTCATCCGGCAGAGGGCAGAGAGTGAGAGCAAGCTCACACGTCTCTTCTTATAAGGGCACTGATCTCATCATGAAGGCCCTCATCATCTCCTGAAAATGTCACCTCCAAATGCCATGTCACTGGAGATTCAAATGTTCACATATGAGTGTGGATTGGACACACATGGTTAGTCCGTAACACACATACGAATGTTCACAGAGGCATTATTCACAAGGGCAAAAAGGTGGCAGTGACCCAAGTGTCCACCGATGGCTGAACAGATAAATGAAACATGGTCTAGCCACATACTGGGGTATTAATCAGCCACAAAAAGAAAGGGAGCACTGACACATGCTATGACATGAATGAGCCAGGGACACATGGTGCTAAGTGGAAGCAGCCAGATGCGAAAGACAATAGTCTATGGTCGCATTTATGTGAAACATCTAGAATAGGTAAATCTACAGAAACAGAAAGTAGATTTGTGGTTCCTGGGGGAGGGAGGGGTGCAGAGGGAGGAGAGGACATGACTGCTTAATGCGAATGGGGTCTCCTTTTGGGGTGATGATAATGTTCTGGAACCAGACAGAGGGGGTGGTTGCCCAACACTGAACGAAATGCCACTTTAAAATGTTGACTTTCACGTCAGGTAAATATTATCTCCATTTAAAAAAAATTTGAAATGTGGAAAAATACATAAAAGGCTCTGAAAAGGACAATAAAATAGCAGTCCGTATTACCACAAAAAAGTGCGAGCACAATGACTGCACATATTAAAATGAACCAAATTTAAAAATTAAACCAGCAGCAACAATCCCCCAGGCTCCATGGGGAGTTAATGACAATAGTTCCATCCTGGAACACTGTCTCTGCCCCAGAGGCCATGAGCCCCTCAGAGCAGCCCTGACACAGGTGGCCACAACCTCAGCAGATATGACTTGAGCAGCTACATCAATGCTCCCCTGACCCGGGCAAACTGGCTTCCTTTTCCTCACTTTCTGGGAGGGCCAAGTTCCCGAGTAGGTCCTGCAATTGACAAGCCATTTCCTCTGGTTGGTTCCCCAGTGATCACCTTCTTCACACTCATCCTGGATGGGGGCTCACTGGTCTCTCATCGTCCCCGCCCCCACCACTACACAGACGAGGGAGCAAGGAAGTTAGGAGATTTGCCCATAAGGGATTCACAATATCCTTCCTGGGAATGAGCCAGACTGTGAAATTAGAATAGTACAGGATGAAACCTCAGTTCCCACACCTCCTGGCTCTATGGACTTGCACAAATTATTTCCAGTTTTTTGGTCCTCGGTTTCCTGAGGGGTAAAAACAGAGCCATCGCGGCAATAGCTAATACTTTTTATGGTGCCGACTCCATGCTAGGCACTGTTCTAAGTGGCTTGTGTCTAGTAACTTCTGACACGTTAAAGGTGGGAACCATTATGGGCCTTGTTTGATAAATGAGGACACTGAGACCCAGAAAGTATAAGGTCAACACAAATCACACAGCTGGGATTTGGCAGACCTGTGGTTTGAGGTGAAACATCCAGTGTGTACTCTAAACCAACCCTGTCCAGTAGATCTTTCTGCAGTGATGGAGTCACCCCATATCTGCGTGCCGAATGCGGTGGCCACATGTGGCTACTGAGCACTTGAAATGAGGTTAACACAACTGAGAAAATGTGGCATTAATTTCTTTTCATTTTAACTCTTTTAAATCTAAATGGCTCCAGCTGCTGGTGGCTTCCCTGTTGGACAGCCCTGCTGGAAGCCACTTCTCTAAGCTACCTCTCAGCCCACCTGGTCATCTCCCTAGTTGGTGGCCTGATGCTTAAGAGAGAACTACAGAAGTGAAGCACATCTTGGAGCCACATAGTCCCGGAGTTGGGATATACTTCTTCTAACCTTCAGGAGTTTATATCCTACCATAGGAAAATTATGATATTAGCTAAAGATAGTGGTGCCATCTCAGGTCTGGTCATTGCTGCAAAGAGAGTTAAGAAGAGAGGGTCACATGGCTGAGAATGGTAGGGTTGATTGTCCAACACCACACCTCTAGAATACCCAAGGGATGGCACCGCCGGAGGCTTACAGAGCCCCCCGGACCTTTGTCTAAGGTTGGGCAGTGGTCATAGGGGACAGACAGTGTGGAGGCGGCCAGCTCTCTAGCCAGGCGATGGTGGGTGTCTGTTTTCTGCACATCAGTGATCTGTCTGGTACTGAAGGGACTGCAGAGCCCATGTTTCAAGAACAAGTGTTCCATATCCTCCCCATAATTTCTCTTGGGAACATGCAGTTCAGCCTTGGGTGCATCTCTAGCTGCCCCTACCCCGAGGGGCCACCTGCTTCCAGGAATTCTGAAGTATTCATGCCCCTCGCATTTCTCCTTTCTCCCCGTTCATATGCCCTGTCCCGCCTCAGCCACCCCCAGGGTTGTCCAGGTCCCATTTCTCCTTTCTCTGGTCTCTGACCCTGACACCCTCCTGGGATGATGGCTGAGGTGGGTGTCCCCTCCAGAGCCCCAAACTCAGGCATCCCATAGACCCCACACGTGTCTCTAGACAACCCACAGACCTTCTCCCTTAAGTCCCTCTTCAGCCCCACTCTTCCCCTTTGGTTTCCCTTTGGAGGGGGTTCCCCAAAGCCACCCATTTGCTTTTCTTTATCCTCATCTGTACATAGATGCTTACACACATGCCCATCCCACTTCTTGAACTTTTCTCAGACTTTTCCCTTTCTCTGTCCACTGCCTGACTCAGGGTGTTAGTCATCACATACCAGGACTTCCTGGGTGTCCAACCCTTGGTGCATGCCACCAGGGCCATCTGTCCCTACATTGACTGTCCTGCTGGTTTTTTTTAAAGGAAATTCTAATCATGTCACTCCTGTGCTTGAATCTCTTCAATGTCCCCCCCAATTGTTCTGCATTTTAAGTATATGTATATGTATAACACCTGTGTATATGTGCATATTTATTTAGTCTATATACACATAAATGGAGTTGTATATATAGATACATTTATATATAATGTACCTATGTGTCTATAAATGTATATACACATGCACACATAGGAAAAATATCAGAAGGACACACATGAAACATTAAAACTGCTTGTCTACGCGATAAGATTATAGACAATTTATATGTTCTCTGTGATCTTTTTTCTTTTTTTTCCAAATGTATCCAATTAATTTATGGATATTAACTTTATGATCAAAAACTTGCTATTTTACAGCAAGCATTGAAATGAAGCAGTCCACTCTGGAGACTGGCAATTGACAAAAAGTTTTCTATATCAACAGAGGAACTTTCTGATGCCAATTTAGCACCTCAACGGGCACAAGCTGAGCTGCATGCTCTGGGACTCATTAAAATCTCCTTAACAATACTCGCAGGGACCCTGACAGTAGGTGATACTGTTCTTCATTTTCTTGCTGGGTTGTATAATTAGAACAATTAGGATAATTATTCAACCCATCTTGGAGCTGTCAGGAAAAACCCATGGGAGGGGGTGGCAGACACCGAAGGGGGAAAACCTTAGCTACAGGCAAGGGAAGTTTGGGAATAAATTAATCTGAACCCATTTGAGGAAAATTCAAAGTTTGAAATAGCAGGAGGAGAGCCACAAGGGGCCAAT